CAAAAGACATCCAAATTTTAATATACAGTTTGCAATTCTAGTGCTGAGGGAAATATATACAAGCTAACTCCATACCCTCGCCCTTCCCCTCCAACATGGCATAAAGCAGCTGACTGGGACCTAGGGGACCATCCATGGTGACACCTCCAAGTCATAGATGAGAACAGTGACTCAACATCCTGTACATGAATGTCGGTAACAGCATTAGGCATACTTCGGTTGTTTCCAGTTCAGGACTTTTGCGAATAATGCACCTGACAAAGGTCTCCCAAGTAGTTGGATGGAACTGTTTAGGGAGCAGTATTTCATTTAAGATTGTTTATACAGCAGGTGTTTGCATTAATTGCTCGGGTCCTGTCCTTTCACTGAACTGGCACTTGCCCTGTTGTGCCAGAGCTTCAGTGTGTCCAGTAGTGCAGTCATACACGTTGTGTTTGCAGTTACACTTTAGGGACATTCATAGCTCCAGGCATTGGCAGTGAATTTTAGACTGATCACAACATGTGTGAGAACTTTGGCTTGAATGTACATCAATGCAAATTAACTATATGGCTTCCCATTTTTTGTTTGTTTATTTGTTTGAGGTGGAGTCTCACTACATAAAAGCTTTACTCACTGTGTAGTCCAGGCTGGCCTTCAACTCATGGAGATCCTCCTGACTCAGCTGCCCAAGTGCTAGGATTACAGGCATGCATCACCATGCCTAGTGCTACATGGCTTAGTCAGTAGGGGATCTTGATAGATAACGTGTGACCTCTAGAGAGATGGAATCAATAGAAGATACATTCTGCATCTACAATATTTGTTTTTTTAATTCCTGCTTCCAGCTGAGTTTGTGTGTTGTGTGCTTTCCATACTTGAACTATCTTCTGCCAAACCTCTTACCTTTGCCCCAGATCCATAATTAGGTCTGCACATGTCAGTCAAAACTGTATCATTTTTATGGGAAAATACCTTTTCATCATTTTCTCTTCTCCCTCCCAACTTTGTTGTGGGATCCTTTTGTATTATGCATATACTTCAGGAAATAAGCTAATTTCAAAAAGTAGTTTTTCTTTATGAAATCAGCATACATTAATTTCTTTTTGAAAGTTGATGACAGTTTTCCGAGAACATTCTCTACTTAGAGCAGATATCCAAAATCATTATATGGTTAAAAAATTATATATGACTTGGCAGCCCAAGCAAAGATGGTTACTAGATATCTTTCACTCTTAACAAGATTGAACTGATGATGTATTGGTAGGTTTTGTTGTTTGATTTTATTGTTTTGCTTGTAATAATGACATTGGTGGCATTTTATGTGTTTGTCAGTGCATTTTATTATTATTAATTTGTTTTATGAGACAGGGTCTCCCTATGTAAGCTGGGTTTGAATTCACTTTGTAGGCCAGGCTGTCCTCAAACTCATATCAGTCCTCCTGCCTCAGCCTTCTAAGTGCTGGGATTACAGGTGTGAACTACCACGCCAAGATGAGGTGATTTTAACTTTAATTGTACATTTGATACCATCTCTGTTATCCCGAGGCCATATGGAAAATAGAGTAGGACAAAAAAAGAAAACACAAAGGTGGGTTGGAGGATGTGTTCCCTAAGGACAGTGAGGGCTTATCGTTATGTAATTGTTACCATGCTTCCTGCTTTGATTTTGTAAGCACTTTGCCTTCCGTCTATGCTATCCAGAATGTGACACAGCATATATACTTTACAACAGCAAACCCAGAAATCTGGGTTGCTAAGCTGTCTTAACGTGAATTACATGCACACTGCAATTTGAGACGGAGGCACATGGATGAGATAGGCTGGCTGGCTTTAGTGAGGTTTCCTTGAGTTTGAAAGTAAGGTGGGTTAGACTGGAAGAGAGGTTAGGTAGAACTCTTGAAGACATTGGTGTAGGAAAAGATTTCATGAAAAAAACCTCAGTTGCATATGAACTAGGACAAAGAATCAACAAGTGGGATCTCTTCTTATTAAAAAGCTTCTGCAGAGCAAGAGAAACCCTCAACAGAGTGAAGAGGCAACCTACAATGTGGGAAAAATTTTTACCGGCTGCTCCTCAGGCAAAGGTGTACTATCTAGAATATATAAGGAATTTAAAAAAAAATCAGACCTCCCAAATTTAAAGATCCAATCTAAAAATGGGCATCTGAAATGAACAGATTTTTATCAAAGAAGTAGAAACAGCAAATAAATATATGATAAAAATGTTCAACATCGCTGGTCATTTGAGAGATGCAAATGAAAACAACACTGAGATTCCACCTCACCCCAGAAAGAATGGCTGCTACCAAGAAATCAACCAATAACAAATGCTGGCGGAGCTGTGGGGAAAAAGGAACTCTTCTCCACTGTTGGCGGGAGTATAGACTGGTGCAACCGCTGTGGAAATCAGTGTGGAAATACCTCAAAAAACTAGGATTAGGGCCAGGGATTTAGCTCAGTGGTTCCACTGTCTGCCTCATAAGCACAAGGTCCCAAGTTAGATCCCTGGTACCAAAACAACAACAACAACAGCAGCAGCAGCAACAACTAGGATTAGAGGTCCCATTTGACCCAGCCATCCCTCTGCTGGGTATATTCCCAAAAGAATTAAAAGACTCATACCACAGCGATATATGTACACCCATGTTCATAGCAGCACAGTTTCTAATAGCTAAAGCTTGGAAACAGCCCAATTGCCCATCAACTGGAGACTGGATCAAGAAGATGTGATTTTTCTATAAAATGGAATACTACTCAGCCATAACAAACTAGAAAGCAGAGACATTTATAGCTAAAAGAGTGCACATTGAGGCCACACTTAAGTGAAATAAATAGGACACGTGTAAATACCAGTTTCTCTGGTGTGAAAAACTAAAAGTGTAAATAAGGTTCAAATGGTATAATTGATAATGTGAAATAGGAAGAAAATGACTAAAGGAGTAGGGGAAGTGGGAAGGGTAGAGGAAAGGAAATAAGAGACAAGAAAAAATACGAGAAAGTGAAAATATGGAAACAAAGTCTTTGTAAACAGGGAAGTGTGGAGGGGGTGAGGCGATGACAGGGGAATGGGGAAAAAATAAAAACTAGGGTATATCATGTAAAGTTACAAGATCCCAATGATGAGTGTAACTGTATTGTATACCTAAAATGTGTCAATAAACTTAATGGAAAAAAAAAGAAAATAAGTGTTTAAAAAAATAAGAATGCCATAAAAATGAAAAACTAGAGACACAGCTAAATAGATGCACATTGAGCCATACTCGTAAGTGAAATAAATAGGATAGACATATAAATACCAAGTAGTTTCTCTGATGTGATGTGTAAATAAGGTTAAAAAAAGGTATAATAGATAATGTGAAATAGGAAAAAAAAAGGTGCGAAGGGGAAGTAGAAGGGGTAAGGGAAAGGAAAAGGGAAAGGAACAAGTAGGAGAAAAGGAAAAAATTGAAGCAAAATCTTTGTAAATAGGGAGGGAGGGGTTGAAGGCAGGGCAGGGGAATGGGGGAAAAAAGAAGAACCAAGATACATCATGTAAAGGTACAAATTCCCAACAATGAATGTCATCATTTTGTATACTGAAAATGTGCCAATAAAATTCATGAATTAAAAAAAAAAGGAAGGTGGGTTAAATGGTTAAATGGTGACAGAATTTCCCCTTGAGATGTCTACAGTGGACACATGGGGGTTGGTTGTTCAGAACTCCTTAGTTGAGAAAATGTTCCATAGCCCTTTCATATGGTCCCAATGGGAAGCAGCCATGTTAGTTCCCTGGGACGGGGCGCCAGATCATGGGGCCCAGTGAATCAGTAGGCCCTTGCTCACCCTGCTACCAGGCTGACTACTCTAAGCGTGGACCTGATCCCAGCAGGGCTCGGGAATGTCAGGACTTCTGTATTTGGGACATAGAAATTTGAGTCAAGTCTCTAGTCCTGTGGCTGTGCTTGTAATGAGGTAAGTTCAGACACCTTGTTGCCTGTGTTAAGAAAGCCATTAGACAGAGAAAAAAGAATGATGCTAGTCTGCAAAGGAAAGCAAAGATAGGTGCTGAGAGAAGGCATCCTGCTGGCCTTGCACCCTGCTTCCAGCGGTTCTAGTTGAAATCAACGCTGTTTGTGTACTGATGAGACTGGCTGGCTATGGATTAGAAGTTAATGGAAAGTGACTTAGTTTAATTTTTAAAAAATTTTTAGTGCATGTTTGCAGTCCATAATGACTACATTTCTTGTGTGGGGGGGTGGCGCATGTGATGCACATAATGGATCTCAATTCTTTTATGTCCCCGTTCCTCCTTCTCAACCCCCTCCCTCCATCTCTTGCTCCTTATCCCATTCGCAAAGGTCCTACCTCCCTGTTTCCTATTATCTGTCAAAGGAGACTTAATGGTACAAAAATTATAAGCTGTGTTTACCTATTACACATACATGTAACCTGAAAAATTCTCTTGAACTTTATTTTACTGGAGCCTTCTATTCCTTTAATCAAAGCTTCAAGTAAAAACAAGGCCAAAAATAGCATGATTCAATATCATATTTACTGCACTGTATGCTAGGAGTATAGTAGAGTGGACACTAAGCATAGCAAAACAACCACTGGACAGAAATGAAGGGATGACCCTGCAGGGCAAAAGGGGCGCTTTTGGGATGGGACTGATGGAAAGCAGGAGGGAGGAAAGAGAAAGCCAAAGACTGCCCCCCTTTGTAACACAGGAAGTGCTAAAAACAACCAGTGTAATTCAACACATTTTTACCAAGCCTGGGGTATGGGGGGTGGCAAACATGATATTATCCCTGTCTCCTAGTCACTATCTTTAATGAATATTCATTATGCACCACAAACAGCTACTAATAAAAAAGACTTGCAAATATTTTCATTACCATGCTTTTTCCTCTTCTATGGTTTTGGTTTTGGTTTGCTGATTTATCTTCCCTGGAATATAAGCCCCCTGATGTTAGCGATATTTGTCTTTTTAAAATTAACTAATTAATTATTTTTGTGTTTCCAGTGTTTACACAGTGGTTGGAACAATGCAAACAGCTCAATAAGAAGTCTGAATGAAGTGGAAAATCAGGTTCTTGTCTATTTTTTTTCTCATTGAGTTTATTGGTACTTTAAAAGTATACAGTACAGTTACATTATCATTGGGCTCTTGTACCTTTACATGACAGGTCTTGATTCTCATTTTTTCCCTTTATTCCTGTCCTCCCTACACCCCCTCCTCCCTTCACTATTTACAAATACTTTATTTCCATTTTTTCATTTTCTCATTTTTTCCTTTTCCCTTATTTCCTTTCCCCTACCCTTCCCACTTCCCCTACACCTTTGGCCCTTTTCTTCCTATTTCACATTATCACTTATACAATTTGGATCTTATTTACACTTTAAATTTTTCCCGCCAGAGAAACTATTTGGTATTTACACACGTGTGTCTTATTTATTTCACTTAAGAGTATGGTCTCAATATTTATCGATTTTCCTATGAACAACTCTAGTTTCTCAGGTTTTATGCCTCAGTAGTACTCCATTTTATAGAAAAACCATATCTTCTTTATCCAGTCTCCAACTGATGGGCAATTGGGCTGTTTCCAAGTTTTAGCTATTACAGACTGTGCCGCTATAAACATGGGTGCCTGTGTATCACTGTGGTATGATTTTTTTTATCCTTGTCTATTGATAATCATAAACTCTCGGGCCTCGAAACTGACTCAGCCAAGGTGTCCAACTGTCAAAGGCGAGGGGGCAGGCGGAGATTCAAAGAGAAACTGGTTTTTCCTCGTGAGGCCAGCGGTTCTCAGCCTTCGCTGACATTAGCATCACCCTGGGCCAAAGCTCAGGCTGCACCCAGGACCAAATCTGAGTCTCCAGAGGGTGGACCCCAGGCATTACTATTTCAGAAATCTGCTCAGGCGATTCCAACATGCAGCCACTACTAAGTACTACAGATGGCGCGAAGGCGCAGGGCACAGTAGAAGGACAGAAGATAGACAGGGCCAAGCCCCGCCTCTCGGATGTCAAGCCCTGGGGCTACCCCGAGTTTCAATTAACAGGCGGGAGGAAGAGGGTGTGCGGCACGCCCCTCGCAGCTGATTGGTGGGAATGGGCACAGCGGAGGTGGTCCCTCCCCTTGGCGGCGTGACCCCGCCCTCAGCGGCGGGGTCCCCAGGCAGCGTAGCTGCGACGGCGTGGTCGTGGGGAGGGTGATTCTCCTGTTGCCCTTTTGTCGCCTCGGTTCCCTCGGC